CGCATGGCGGCCCCGGGCCATTGCGGCGCACCCCTCACGGGGATCGCGGCCTCATGGGGAGCTCCGCCGAAGGCCCCAGCGGTAGGGTTCGCGCGGCTGCCTCGGGCCATTTCGGCGCCCCCCACGAGGGTCGTGGTTCCATGCGAGCTCCACCGAAGGCTCCAGCGGCAGGGTTCGCACGGCGGCCCCGGGCCATTGCGGCGCACCCCTCACAACGATCGCGGCCACATAAGGAGCTCCACCGAGGGCGCCAGCGGCAGGGTTCGCACGGCGGCCTCGGGCCATTTCGGCACACCCCTCAAGAGGATTGTGGCCCCATAGGAGCCCCAGCGAAGGCGCCAGTGGCAAGGTTCGCATGGCGGCCTCGGGTCATTTCGGCACACCCCTCACCAGCATCGTGGCCCCGCAGGAGCCCTACCAAAGGCGCCGGTGGCAAGGCTCGCGTGGCGGCCCCGGGCATTGCGGCGCGCCCCTCGCGAGGATCGTGGCCCCATACATGTGCTGCTTCAAAAACCGCGCCTGGGCGTCGCACTCCGCCTTGTCGACGTGCAGCGCCACCTCCTGCATCATGGCTCTCGAAGCCCTCTCCTGCTTCTGCTCCTCGGTCGGTCAGAGGGGCGCCGTCTTTGTCGTCGTCGGCGCCCGCGAAGACGGCCGCGAACGCGTTCCTGAGCACGTCGGGCTCCGGCGGGAGGCCGTGGCCGCATGGGGGGCGCGGGCGAAGATGGCATTCGCAACTGCGGTATTTGCAGCTGCATATGGTTGGGCCCTTCGCCCGACTAGTTGTTTTGTTCGTGTTTCCTGCAGGCAGAGCACTTAGACATCGAGGCTCTTCGCGCGCACCGCGATTTCCATGTGTTTCTCCCCTGCCCGGCCATCGACGCTCCACGTTGCAATCTTGAGTTCTGGATTGTTGTCCCCATGGAGGCTGTTGCTCCCTGAAGGTGAAACCCTTCCCGCGCGCCCCTGGCTGCGTCATTGGAAACACAGGTCGCGCTCCTGCCCAGCCTGTCAATGATCTCCTGGCGTAGCTCTTTCCATCCCGGTGCGTTCTGAAATTCCACCCACGCATCCCAAGAATGATCCAGCAAATCTAGTTTGATTTTCTCTTCCGCAACTGGAATTTTGAATATCGATATGCCTCCAGCGTTAAGTATCCCAGTGTCATCGTGGACCTTGAAAACCAAAATGCTTGAAAGTCCCATTGCGTGAGTAGGTAGCGGAGACAGATAAGCAATGACGTAATGGCACACTGCTCGATGGGAGCATCCGTGCTGCACCATGGTCACCATGCCCGGCGGTTGCCTTCCAGAGGATTCTGCTAGGGGTCGGGAGGGCGTCTAAAGGTGCCTTGTGGCGTGCGAGATCGCACGCCTCTTGGAGGATCGGGAGGGCGTCTAGAGATGCTCTCTGGCATTGGAACTCCGAACATAATCTGCCCTTGAACTGTTCTTCATGGGGCCCTATTTTACACTTTGAATGGACCCTCGCAATGAGTTTCCTGGTGTACGTTCGTAACCCTTTGTTCTGCATCGGTTCCGGCTTTACGCGGCAGTCCCCCAACACAGACGTCGTGTTATCGTTTTGCCCTTGTGTCGACGATGGTGCGGCTGAGGTTGCGGAGCGTTGTTTGTTCGAACCCCTCTTCATGTCAACGATGCCCTTCTCGATGTCGGCGATGCGCGGCAGAATGTCGCCCTGAAACTGCCTGACCAACGCCGACAAGTCACTGAGTAGAATGTCCACGTCGTCCTGGAAGTGCGTCGTATCGTCCCTGATCTCTTCCATGTCATTGTCCACTTTTTGCCGCAAGTGCTGCAAGTCCTGGCTCAAGAGTTGAACTGACTCTGCGACGGGGGCAAAGTACGAATCAAAAAACGCTTTCGTACCCCCATGTGTAACTGTAGCTGAGGGTCATCGCATGCTCCAGCCATCTGATATTCAATTTTTCTCCTGCCGCAACGCCACTGCAGGGGGGCTCTGCAGCATGGGACGCTGTGGACTGTCTCTCACTCGCGCCTTCTTCAACGCACTCTCCTTCAGGCGGGAGTGCACATTCTTCCAGACGTTTCCCTGGCTGCGCTGAGGCCGAAAATGCGTGCCCCGACACGATGGAATATATTGCATTCGGTTTATACTGATGTTCCACAGATGCCAGCACTGCTCACGATCAGCGGGCCAGCCAACACTGCTTGCCGAGCAGCGGGCCAGGGGGTGTGACGTGCGCGAACTGTGCTCACAGGCGCAGTAGCAGAAGCTTGTGCCCCTTGTGCCGCCTTGAGCCCTCGCGCCGCCGCCTCGGCCAAGAGCAACCGCTCTGGCCCGGACCGCGACGCGCGAAGCGAGATTTGTCCTCGCGTCCCTGCGATATCCGCCGCCCCCAGTGGTCCATGATCGTTTTCCCGGGTGGTGGGCATTGATAAATCCCAGCCTCGGAAGGAGGGGGGCGGTGCACGGAGGAGCTGAGGAAGATAGCCAGGCCCGGAGAACAAATGCCAAGCCACACCACCAGACTTCGTGCGTCGCGCCGGTTCGACCTTTGCACGACTCACTCCCTTCACCTGGATGTGCTTTGTCTCTGTGAACGCACTGACAACCACGAGCCTGTCGCGGCACAACCCGAAGTGCGTCACGCTCCGAGGACGCTCTGGGCGTTCGCGGCACTATCCCCACTGTTCCCTTTTTCTTCCTTCCGCCTTTGTGCCCTGTACCACCCCTAGCCATAGCTAGACTGCTAGACCGCAAGATGGATCCAAGGCGACACAGATCGAAAAAACGCGGCGCCGCGCGAAAAATGCTGGTCTTCGTGGTTTCGCGCGGCACCCTGGAGAAAGAGCAGCCAGCCGGCCCGGACCTCGAATCGCGATCATCTCGGCGAAGAGCGCCAGGAAGCGCCAGACCAACGCTCGAAAGGTAGCGCAATCAGCGCCGCGCTCAACCTGGACCGACTTGGTACTGACCATCATAATGTTCGAAACGGGACGCACATAGGCCCAAATAGCAAGCCTCCCTCCCCCCCAGCCCTACCCAGAGAGCTGAACAAACCTATGTTCATTTCTCCAGGCAACATAATCCCATGTGGCCTCGCCCATCCTCCACCGCCTTTTGTCCTCACCTCTTCCCCGCCTCCTTCTCCCCCGCCTCCTCCGCCTCCTCCTCCTCCTGCTCCTGCTCCTCCTCCTCCTCAGATTACTCATATTCGTCCTCCGTCCCCTGCTCTACTTGATGCGCCGCACTCGTCATTGCTCCTCCCTGCTCTCATACTGTTGATCCTTCTTCCTACAGAAATATCCCCCCCCGCTGCGCTTCCCGTCTAAATGTTCCGCGCCTGCCCACATCCGCCTCGCCCCCACACCACGACAGACTTCCGCATTCCACAACTCACCAATAAATCCTCCGTGTTGCCACCATCTCCTTCTCCTCCTCCTCCTCCTCCTCCTCCTCCTCCTCCAGCCCCATCATCCTCCTCCTCCTCCTCCTCCTTCTCCTCTCCCTCCTCCTCGTCCCTTTTCCTGAGAATCACTACCCCTATCCCCTCCATGTAGCACCACCAAACGTGTCCGTAGGCCAGGCTGCGCGTTTCGCTTGAGATGCAGCCCGCAACCCTGAAATGAAAAAAGCTCTACACATGACAAAACCAGTTGGGGCTGGTGGTTCCAAACCAACGACGCTCTCATCAACGCAACGCACATTCGGTTTCACATGCACCGACAGCTACAAAAAATGGAGCACCGGTGACTTCCAACATGTGGTTCTCGCATCAGCGCCGAGCACATTCGCTTCAAAATTCCAAGCGTTAACACATGGTGCAGCAATGATACGGGTTGAGGACGGCTCGTTTTCAATGAGGGGATCTCGCTTGAGAGATTGGCAACAAATCTATGACAAAGTTGTTGCAATGATGCAACACTTCATTGCACGGATGGAGTGCTGATCCTTCACAGCGGGGTTACCGCTGGACACCTCCATCATACACGTTGTCAGTTCTTCTAGCTGAAGGGATTGGGGTTCGAGTTTTTGCACGACGGGGTCTCGCCTGGGTGGCAAGCCCAGTGGGCGTTCGTCGTTCAAGGATGGCACCCCCCAGACTGGACAGCAATACTTGTAGAACTTCATCAGGAGGGGACTTGGGCTTGGAGGGTGTCTTGCAACATCGCTGACGCGTCCTTAATTTAACCTGGTCTTCCCACTCTTCTCCATCGCTTCGTCTACACCATCCACTTTCGCCTCTTCTCCATCATGTTCTTCCTCCCCCCTCATTATCCCGTCCTCCTCCTCCTCTTCCCTTGCCGCTTCCTCCCTGTCCTCCTCCTCCGCCCTCGTCTCCTCCGCCTCCTTCTCCCTCGTCTCTTCCTCCCTCGCCCCTCATTCCTCGCCTCCTCCTCCTCCCCCTCCCTCCCTCCCTCCCTCCATCCATCCTTCCCTCCCCCTTCTCTCTACAACCTGCTGGATTAAAAACAGCGGACTGCAGAAGTCGCGTACGATGCGCAACGAGGTTCCCGTTAGGCCCCGGTACAATGTTACAGAGACCAGCCCAAGGAATCTCTGGTCGCTCGGGAAGGCGACTGGAGAGTGTTTTTGGAAGGAGTATTGGGTGGACTCGCGATTCTCCAGTTCCTCTATCCTCCCTTTATGAATCGCAAAATACGGTGAGGACCAAAAAAACGCGATTACATCCACTCCTTCCCCAAAAAACACTCTCCGGTCGCATTCCTGAGCGACCGGAGAATTGATCTGGCGACCGGAAAACCGCGATTTCGCTTAGGACTTCCTCGGCAAAAATTCTCTGGTCCCATGTCAGGCCACCCGAGAATTGCCATTTCGTGCAGGGGAAACAAATCCAGTCCGTTTTCGAGCTTTCGGAGAAGCGCGCCGGTCCGCACTTCTTGACACAAGGGGTTTGCGCCTCCCCTTCGTCCTGCCTGGCCCCTCCCGCGCTGCCCGTCCTCTCTGCCTGGCCCCCCCGCCCCTTCCCTGCGCCGGCGGGGGCGGCGGCTCGCTTCGTGGCACCCCTCGTGGAGACCGGGCCCGAGGTGTAGGCGCCAGGCCCAGGCGTGGTCGACCTCTCCGCGGGCCCAGCGGCGGCGGCTGCCCCCGCGGGTCGGCGCGGGAGAGGGAGAGAGCGCTCTGTCCCCCAAGACGGCCCAGCAGGCCCCTAGGATGCCCGCGGGAGCTGCCCGGACGGCGGAGACAAGGCTCAAAGCTCTGGGAACATGGCCGAAAGATGGTGCAGCGCGGGGGGGCTGTGGCAGAGGCTGCAGCACCTAGGACTACCCCCTCTTTGCTGGTGATCTCTGGTCGCCTCGTCCACAGCGTCTTCAACGCACGAGGTTGAGGCAGTCGCTCGCTGGCCCCTCATGAGAGAACTTACTTTCGCCCCCTTGCTCTCAAAACTCAAGGAAGCACACATATAATGCGGCAGTTATGCAGCACACACACACAGACACAGACACAGACACAGACACAGACACAGACACACACACACACACACAGAGACACACACACACACGCATGTTATGCGCAACGATGTTGGTCTCAAACGCTGCCCAACACTCCAAACAACATGAAACGCCTCACCAGAAGAAGCTACGAAATTCGTTGGCCAGTCTGGGCTGATGCAGGACGGAGGGCGACGAGGGAAAGGAGTCGAAATGAGGAAAACGCGGAGGGGAAAGTAAGTGGAGGGAGGATAGGGAGGAGGAAAGAGGGAAAGGAAGAGAAAGGGGAAAAGAACGAAGAACTACAGGATCACAGCATTTCCACGCGTAGCAAGACCTTATATAACGACGAATCCCAGCGCCGCCCTCGCGGCTGCCGCCACGCCTACCTTGGATACCGAGGCCACTTCCCTGGCCCAAGACTCGCGCCTGCCTAGCAGGACGGGGGCTCTGGACTCCCTCCGACGACCAGACGGGCCACCTTGCCCGAGGAAGCGTGGGGCCCAGAACCACCCCCCTAGGCGCCTCTCCAAAGGGTGCCAATAAGCACGCATCCGTGAGCCTCCCCCAACCACCGTGCGGTGCGGGGGGGACCGGGTGCAGTGCACTGGCCTGGGGCGGACACGACCCCAAGAGGCTACTCGCTTCACCCACCACCCCTGATCCAGGGTGATTTTGAGCAGGCTCGTATTCGCCCAGGGCGCCGCGCGGGAGCGGCATGGAGGGAAGGATGGTAGGGGGAGGAGCTGGAGGGAGGAGCGCGCCGTGGGAGCCCAAGAGGAGCCAACATTGAAAAGTATGTCCGTCCCAAGACTTTCGCACGCCCTCGTTTTCGGTAGCCGAAGCGCCCAAGGCGGCCCCATAGGCTCCAAATGTGCAGCAGAGAGGGCCCCCTGGATGTCCCCAAGAGGGCCCAAGAGGGGGAACTCGGGCTGCATTTTCCAGCTCCTCCACCCCCAAAGGGCAACGGATCCCTCACATCAGGTAGTGTTCCTGCGACGTATGCGGAAGTCGCACGCGCCCCGCGGACAACATGTCACGCATCCCTTGTTTTCTAAATGTTGTGTTCAGGGCATCGGGTAGCGTGTCCATGCCCCGCGCAAGGTGGGCGTTTGAAAAGTTCCCAATGGGGTATGGGCCCAGCCCGCCGGCCACCCGAAAGAACCTGCCAATTTCACACCCCGCCGGTTTTCCAGAGGAAGACAGCCCAAACAAGACCTCGAGGACAGCCAAGATTGCATCCACAACGGCCAAGACGGCCATAAGGGAGCCCAACATGGCTGCAAACATGGGTTGAAAAAACGGGCCAATATGCACCCAAGGCAGCCTGATATGTCCCCGAGAGGCCTCCAAAAGGTCTTCCAGGAAGGTCCGAAGAGGCTAACATCGTTGTTTGTCTGACTCGTAAGAAATAAGAAATGCGTGCATTGGCTCTGCCCTCCGATGGCCAAAGCCGGACCAAGAGTCAATTTGAAAGGGGCTGGGAGGCCCAACCAGCAGCTTCGCCTCAGGCGAAGCCCAGCTCCACCTCTGTTGTACCGAAGTAACGATAGTCCCAGTAGTAGGAGATCGTCGCGGGAGCGACAAGCCATCTCAAGCAAAATATGGTTTGGTCTCGATGGCAAATGGTACACCTCGCGCTGAGGTGAATCGGAAGGGAGAGGGAGACGAAGCGTGAGCCCCCCGCCTCTACGCAGCAGATACAACAGCTACCACGTACAAAAGGGTAGCAAAAAGGCGAGGCCGCAAGGAAGGTGGGCGCGCGCGCAAGTTGCCTTGCCTGCGCTTTACTGTGCATGCGAGTACTCCTCAGGCGGCTGCAGACGGATATGTCTGGCCAGCCCGATAAGGAGCATGACCCCTTAAGCCATGTTTGAAGGATTGCGTACCTCCCATGACCTGCAAGAACATTTATATGTCGATGCTCCCCTTTGTGTGACCGTCCGCGGTCATATCGCGGGTGTCACACCATTGAATGTTGCGCACGATTCCTCGCTCCATCATCTGTCGTATCCAACTGATGTTTCCTAAGAAGGTACACCCAGTCGTCGTCTTCAAGTCTTTGCTTACCAAGGACTTAAAAACAGACTCAGCATCTATTGTTCAAGTGACCTTGGTGCTCAGGCCACCCAGCTCAAGTACGTCTTTCAACTGAGTGGGAGTTAGCGGCCCTCCATGCTCGTGGGATAGCAGTCCTCCAAGTTGTGGGCCGCTGCTAATGTCTCTGCTGAATAACTGGAAAGGACCTGCAAGCGGTGAGACTTGCAGAACGCACCAATCGAGTGAACGACAGGATTGCCAGATGGCGTGCTTCCACGCCTTAGCAGGTTTGCCCGGCGAAAACCATAACCGTTGACTTTGTCATCGGCATCTCCGCTCAGGCGTCGATAACCTGAGTTGCCGCGCAGGTCAAGTTCGCCAGTGGGAGTCATCGCTTGGTAGACGATCTCCTCAGGGCAAGCCTGCACTTGCCTGGTAATCGCGTTCAGTCGACGCACTTGTATGTTGGTCGGTCCTTGGACGCGTTGTAGAGAGACAACACGTGCCATCTAGCACAGCCGGGTGATTCATGCATAAGTCAATGCGCCTCTGAGGCTGACAAACATGTCTGTAACCATCTTGGGTGCTTGGGCGTCAGCGTCGGCGCTTGTAAGTTCAAGATGTTGTATTGGACAGAGCTGTTTGATGTATTCGTATTGGTCCAACGTAACACTGCCGTCCTCATCCTTGATATAACTCACAGCACAGTTGGTGCATGTCCGCTTGCTGACTTTACACTTGCCAAAAGTGTCCTCCACGCGCTTGACGCACTTGTCAATGATGTCCTCTGCGCCGGCCGCATTGATGTCATCAACATGTTTGGCTGTGAGCAGGTTGCTGCTCGTCTCGAACTCCTCGTCTTAGGGCGCGGGTCTGAGACGGACACCTCTCGTGGTCCTTCTGAGCTTGAGTGAGAAAGCTCGAGGTGCGTCCTTGGCGCCGGTACCTGGCTTGAGGCACTGTCAGCAGTGCTTCGACTCGTCGCAGGGCTCAAATCCCGGGAGAGTTCGAGGGGCCGTAGCCGATCCAGGCGGCAGAGTAAAGCACGCCACGCGTTCTTTCGAACGAGTTGCCTCAGCAAGTTCCTGGTAGGTCAACCCTTTCAGGAAGGCCATGTGGATGTCGAGGGAAGCAATGATCCATTGCTTCTTGCACGCTGCCGCGCTTGCGAGTAACCTCTGGCCCGACCACCGTGCTGTTCCTGAGGTGGTTCCTACATCGGAGACTTCGAGGTCCATGGGCCCTCGAAGCACCAGGCGTAATCTGATGGCATGTTCCATCTCACCCTTCTCGTTCTTCACGAACTTTCATGTGCGCACATACCTCGAAGTCATGATGTTCGACGCTTTAGATATCTTGCATTTTGAAACACTCGTTGTCAAACCCTGTCTTGAATTCAGTTCATTGGGCTTCCGATATTTTTCGGGACGCGCATGGATGTCAACCTTCGCGAGGAGGTCGTCTCCCTTGACGGCCGCAGCTCGCTTTACAGCGGCGGCAATATATACTCGCACAGTGGCAACACGGTCGGCATCTAATATAATCTGTTGTTCGGATAGGACTGCCTTTGACATTTCCGCGTCAAGCAGAGATCTACATATTGTCCGTTTTCGTCTGAGTCCAGTCCGTAACTGCAATCTTAGACCGTGGAGCACAGTGGGACATGATACGTCTCCTCGATGTCGGAGTCGTGCGGGTGTCCCCACTTAGGCAGGTGTCCCCGCTGTTCTCAAGTTACAGTGATCAGCACACTGTTGTCTCGAATCATTTGCGTGGGTACTGTGAAAAGGTCTTCTAATGGAGTTGCCGTTCATCACGAAGTTCAATTCACCACACTTCCCTAATATGTGCCTCGACGTCCGCCTCCGATTCCTCATATATCGTGGGAAGCCGTCCATCCTCCTGTGGTGGTTCGGCTTCTGGGGCTTCTCTCGCGGTTCCGTCCTGTGTCGGTATACTCGCAAATTCCTCAAACTTCGTCACGTCCTGGTCAAAGCCCGCTTGAGGTTTGGTGGACTTCAGGCACTGGATGATTCTTGAATGTGCTGACCCATGGATGTCAATATTAAGAGCGGTGCCTTCTGCTTCATAGTGGTGAAATCCTGGATCCACATCGCTGCCATAGTGGACAGATGTGCAACTGTCAGCATAAGCCACCGGAAGTAGCTTGTGGATACTTTTGGCTTACCTAACCGATACTACATTCTCGATGCGGAAGAAGTTTCTGGGAAAGTATTGGGAAACCAAATGTCCCTGAGGAGATAGCCGGCTTGCACGTGTCATCTGAGGCGTCCCCTTCTTGGTCGGGACATAGCCAAATGTCATAGCAGGCCTCCCCGCAGGTAGACTGGCCGCGAACGTCAACACTGTCCGTAGTGCAGCGCTGTCGGAGCCGAGTCCTCTGGCTATGCAATCTTCAATGTCTAATGGATGTCGTGCATCACCGCATTGTACCTGAACATCGCGGCTTCCCACTCGAATGATGACTTGACCCCTTGCGGGATCATTTCTTACGACCCGGAACGGGCCATTCCCGCCTCCCCAGTCGTCCTTCGTGGTTGTGGGGCGATAGTAATCAATTAGAT